TTGAAAAATTATATATATATATATATATATATATATATATATATATATATATATATATACATATATATATGGTAGGCTGAGACGGGGCGGCATCGACAGCAGCAGTAGTCCACCTCACCACAGGTTGTAACGAAATGGCCAGGCCTCGTTTTTTGACTAAGGTCTAGAGTTTGTAAAGTCAGGGCTTGTAGAGTTAGGGCGTGTGGAGTTAGAAGTTTGGCACTACATGAGAATTTATTTATTTTCGATAAACTTTCTTGTCGTAGAAGACATGCGTTAGCTTAGTTAAAACATTTCAATGGGTAAATGGCATATGTATGTACAAGTAATTTAGTAGATTTAATGTAAATAAACTGTGAATTTAGTTCATGGTCAAACGTTGGACTTTTAGAATTAAAAAAAAATTAGTAAAATTTGAATATCGGTAATAACACGAGGTAAAAGCTGTTTGGCGTCGTGTGTAGCTGTGTAATGGCGTCGTGTGTAGCTGTGTAAAGGCGTCATGTGTAGCTGTGTAATGGCGTCGTGTGTAGCTGTGTAATGGTGTCGTGTGTAGCTGTGTAATGGCGTCGTGTGTAGCTGTGTAATGGCGTCGTGTGTAGCTGTGTAATGGTGTCGTGTGTAGCTGTGTAATGGCGTCGTAATCCGTGTGTAGGTGTGTAATGGCGGCGTAATTATCTTATTAATCATCATCAGCCAGTAAAAGTCCACTACTGGAAATGGACCTTTCACGTTGTGGGATGGATTGTCCAAACCGTTAATGGATTGACGATTGCAGAACCAGACGTCTCGCACTTTCGAAGCTACTCTCCATCGCCGGTTTGAGCATTACGCGCCTGCTGTAAATGAGATGATACACATATCACTTATTATCGCAAGGCACAAACTTTTACTTATCCCTTTGTTACCTTTGACATAGTAAAAACAGAATAGTGGGCTTTTTTTCTAAGAAATGTACCGAACCCTGCTTATATGTGTGCGTACCTGGCACGTGACAGTACGGACTCGTACGCACGAGCCACGGAATATGATTTATGATAATACTTAATGTACTTAACATTAATTATCATATCACATCAGATCAAATTAATTTTAAACATTAAATCTGAGCTGACAACATATGTTCGGTGTTAATTTACTGTACTTATTTGGCATTTGTTGTAATGTAAGGCTGGAATTTTTGTTTGACAAACATTGATTCTTTGAGAGGAATTTTTTGTTACGTGGTAGAGCCATACTGCAGTTATATTAGTAGTATAGTTGTAGCACGAATGGATCGGCTCGACCGGGTAGAAAGCTTACTGAACAGGTAAAAAGTAGCTTAATGCTGTTGTACTTCGTATGGTGAGTGTTGAGAACCGGATACCCTTTTTACTGGAAACGAGGCATTCCATCTTAGTCCTCACGAGTGACAATGCATCTGCATTTTGATTCGTAATCGAGGATAGATGTAGATGTCTATGGGTCACAGCAACCACTTACCATGAGGTGGACTGTGTGCTCGTTTGTCACCCTATCTTATAAAAAATAATGCAACAGTAGGCATGTAAGTCTTGCGAGGCGCGGGAGCATCCTACTATTCTGTTCTTACTATGCCTTAAACGCTACTGTCCTGCACTAGTCTGTATATTCCACCGCATTGTTTATTGCCCGGGGTACAACAGCTGGTAAACCCTATCGAAAGTCACAACATTGTTCTGATACAAATATTCCTTTGTTGTTTATTACGACACCCACGCGGGACGAAATGTGGCTTCTTACTGCGTCATTTTTATCACTCTATCTCATCTTCTTAAAGTCATTAAAGCTAAAGGAAATGTCCGAAAGATCTTATAAGACTCTTGCCACATATAAGAGAGGCCCCTTTCCAATACAGGCTGGTAAACAAAAAAAAAGTAAGCTTTAATTTAAGTTATTTGTACTTCAATTTTATTACAAATTTTGTAGTGAATATTGTTGAACGGGTCATAAAATCGCCACGTCATTGTAGTGATATCAATGATGATCGTTAGTCTACTACAGGAATATGATATCGATATTAATTTTAATTAAATAAATGGGTTGTTACTTTATTACATTAATCTATAAGCTCTACCTTAGCTTATAGATTAATGTAATAAAGCAATAAACTAAACTAAAAAATAGTGTTAAACACAAAAATAGTCCTCAATTTGTAATCTTTAGTTGAAGGCGTTTGCAATAAAGGAAAATTAATTAATTAAATTAATATAGCATTACGTGATTGGAAGGTTCGGAAATTTAAAAAATAAACGAATAAATATACCATGCAATAAATACTATATGTGATAGAAGTTTCGTAGTAGCTCAAGGAGCTAAGCGCTCGCCCGATAAACCCCGATGCGACCGGCAACAATGAAACTCATCACCATCATCATCATTGCTTCACAGTATATTATTTTGTGGGTTGCATAAGCTGTTATCAGGAAGATATTGCTGCCTATCTCCTATTTTAGTTTCTCTCTGTCGCCTCCTACGACACCCACGAAATGGTAGTACGTGAGGGTAATATGGTCTACCGGTAAATATGGTATTTTAGTCTATTTTAGTATAGTGTAGCGTAGTTAATTATTTAAGGTAATTTTTCCTAAGTATTTCTAATTATTTCCAAAGCTTGTTTGCTATTTTTTTCCTAATATATTAGTTATAGTATACGACTTTGTGTTTTTGTCTCTGTCCTCCTCCTAGATTTGGTTTTATAGGGCGGCAAAGCTTAAGGTGACAGGTATTACCCTCACGTACCTTATTTAGTAGTGGTTTCTAAATTTTTATTCGAAATTTATCTCTTTATATACGACGTGCCGGTAGAATGTAACTATTTTACGATGAAGTCTGTTGGTGGACGTCTTTGCAATATGGTCGCAAACGCAAACGCATTTGAGCGGCAGACTTTTCCCGCTCCAAAACCGAAAGGAGTCTTTAATTTTTTCTTAAATAAAAATTTTGTTCATCATAACATTAAAATTTGCAATTATCATCATATCATGGAGGCATTTCACATATATAAATTGCACAAGAATAGTAATCCAGATCCGAAACAATAATTTTCGGCCATACATACACTTGTTCCGTGCGGGTATCGAACCAGCAACATCAAAAAAGGAAGTTGTCAATTCGATTGTATATTTTTTAATGATTCTGCTTAGTTAAATAGATTATACTACAGCGATGGTCTTATATAAGTTTTGAGAAAAATCTCCACCTCTAATGGTTGAAAATAAAGCGAAGAGGCTTTTAAGTAACTATTTGGACGGCATTCTAGTAACAAATTTAAGCTTGTGATATGTCAAAGAATATTATATTTTTAACAAAAAGTAGGCACAGGCTTCAAAGAATTAAAAATTCTGAGCATAGTCCTCTTCATAGCTCGCTCACTCGCGGAAACTCGAGGTCGCTCCGTGAGTTTTGTCCCTGACAACGATTTAAAAATTCAGATGCGTTGTCAGTTGTCATCCTTGAGGGCCGTGGCAACATTATATCTCCATTTCACTGGTATTCTGTGCAATCCTGGTGTATCCTCGGTCTAGTCGACACGTTCGTTCCATGGCCATAAAACAGCTGCAGCGTGGCTACACTACGTATGTAGCTTAAAAATGCAATATATATGGCACACAAGTAGTAAAGTAAAAAATTTTGTACAACCGACTTCAATGTACTATCTATCTATTTTGATACGTGTGGTTCCATATTTGATTTATATGGAACCATACGGGAAGCTTCAGCTTTCAAATAAAAAAAAATCATCAAAATTGGTTCATTCAGAAAAAAAGTATTGAGGTAACCACACATAAAAAAAACATACAGTCAAATTGTGTACCTCTTCAATAATCTTGAAGAATCATCTTCTTAACGTGCTTTAAAAATATAAATAATATAATATAGTGAGAGCTCGATCTTTAGGCTACAAACTATATGGCCTCTACTTCTTCAGCCAGTAGAATTCTTCTGCTGGAGATGAGCTTCTCATGTGGTAGGGAAGCGGATAGACGATCGCGTATCAAACGTCTGTTATCTTGGACTCTACTGTCCGACGCCGGTCTGGGAATTTGTCATCTAGCCTAAATATTTATGATTGTGCCGTTTTCTGGCAATATTACTATATTAGCCTCTAACTTTTCCAAAAGCTTTTTTATCTCTCCTGCCTTGCTCTTGTACCACACAACTAAACATTTAGCCATAATATTATTGAGCCATTTGTCAGAATCGTACTTAACTAATTATTTTACTCTTACCCACTTTAATTCTGTTTTTGATTGCGGTAAAATTGGTTTCATGCTTTTGTTATTCTATTTGGTATGTATTCAATGAGGAGGGCTTAGCAGCTGTAATACAGGTCTGTGCTCTGTGACCTAGCACGGTTGCTAAAGATACCCTAATAGTATTAAGTTAGATTAATTCTTGTTAATATAATTTTTTTAAGTTTTAAGTTTTTGTTTATATGAAAAGTGTTTTTGGGTTAAATAGATATTATTACATATTATGTATTTTTTAAATATAGAATAAGGGTCTACAGGCAAACGAACATACAGTTCGCTTGATGGTAAATAGATACGCTGTGGCTCATAGACAACATCAATCCTCGATTAAAAATCAAAGTGCAGATGCGTTGTCACTATTGAAAACTAAGAGGGAATGCCTCGTTTGCAGTCAAAAGGCTCTCCGGTTCTCTACACTCACCATACGCAACCCAGCTGCATTGAGTTGCTATTTTTGTCGGTATTCTGTGAAAGCGTGGTCCCGCAGCGGTCTTTCAAATCGGTTAAGCAAGACACATTCGTATTTCAGCCATAATAACAAGAATAGCAGCACGGCCACAATAGCAACGCGGCTCTATCACGTAAAAAAATAGGTATTTCTGTACTACTCTTGCTGAAATAAATGAGTCGGTGGACTCTCCTACACTGCCTCAACAAGGCTTAATATTGTACTTTTTTAGGTATATTTAACTATATGGGTAGTTAATAAATATATTGTGTCCTTAGAACAAAACAAAGATGAGCTGGAATCTACGAGCGGGGAGCGAAGCCGACGCCAGAGCGCGTGGCCAGATCGCGCCACACCGCCTGCCGGCTCTTTCCCCATGCAGAACTCTAGTCACGTCAAATTCGAGCCACCCAACGTGCCCGTCATTTTTGTGCTGGGTAACTTACTTATCTTACTTTTGAATGTCGTGTTTTTCTTTCCCCGTTTTCTTGTGTGCGAACACAAGCGAGGGGTCCCTCGCTTGTGTGCGTGCGTTGCAAGACGCTTGCATGAAGCTTTGTTACTCTCGTCACTCTAATATTTATCTGAAAAACTCCAGACTAAACACTATCATCACGTAAACTTTCAATAACGGCCAAGAACTTTAAGCGTTCAAAGAGAACCATATTTTTAATTTTATAATTAGCCGTTTGCTGCTTTATTTAGCTTAGCTTTACAAAACCGACACAAACTACAGCAAAATCTTTCGAGATACTGTCAAAAACTGATATTAAAATAGGTTTTTCATAATTGAAACACTTGCTCAAAAACCACTATTACAATATAAGCCATTTTTAAATAAGGTGAATGAAATCCCCGATGAAATCCATCCAAATAAGTTTTTTTTTTCAAAAACCATGTCAAAAAATTCATAGTGATTTTACAAGTGCCATTTCGTCCAGGAGGCCCGGGTAGCGGGAAGGTGACCCACTGCGACAACTTGATGCAAGAGCGGCGCGGAGTGGTGCACATCAATATGACCGACCTGTTGCAGCAGTACGCCATTGGTAACGGTACGTCATCTTATACAGGATGTTAGTGTAAACACCTTGAAACCAGTGGTTTGGTTTCACTTATAGAACGTAAATTCAATGAAAAATAACAACACTTTTTTTAGTAAAATCTCAATTTTTCCGTAATTCCTCAATTTTTGCCTGTTCTAAGGCAGGATGAAAGTATGAAGGAAAAGTTACATCACAGGTTATGTGTACCTATTGTGTTTTTATTGGAAGGTTGTGTAGGTAGCTAGCGCATAGGGTGTCCATGAATTCACGGACGGTGTCGGACAGATTTTTTTTAAATTTTATGAAAGAAAATAGCACTTTTTTAAATTCATTGAATCCTAAGCACGGGGTACCTATAGACTACAGACTACAGTACCCTGAGCGAAAGTTTTATCGTATCAAGTTCATACGGCAATTGAGTCATTTTGTTTGACAAAACATAATTCCGATTAAACTATTCTTAATACATTACAATGTGATATAATTTTGTAATATGTGAAAGGTGTCAATGAAGAGAGACGTGTTGTTGGTACTATAACTTTAATTATACTACTCATTATTCCACCTTAACACTAAAGTATATTAACGTGGGAGCACTACACTACACCTCCCACCGACAAAAGAATAAAAAAATATGCTATCCATATTTTTTTATCAATTCTTAAAATACGAGGTCCTTAAGATTATTCCAAAAAAGGTTAATATCATTACGAAAACTATAATCTAAGACATATCTAACATGCAAAAATGCATAGTCACAGTAGTATAATTGACATAATCAGGCATAATTATGTATAACATAAAATTATGTTTTGATGTTCACGAAAATGTACAATATTATTTACTCGTATCCTTAATCATTTTGTTATTATGCCTACCATTTATCTAGTCAGGACAATAATGATAATATATATAAATTACGTGTCACGTTGTTTGTCCGCGATGGGCTCCTAAACTACTCAACAGATTTTAATAAAATTCGCACAGTGCACAGTGTGCAGTTTGGTCCAGCTTGAGAGATAGGATAGTTTTTTTGGACCATCAGTGACTTACATATTTTTTGCAAATTTAAGAATTTTAATAGGCTATGACAAAGGGTCGCCGAAAAGAGCAGAACAACGTCTGCCTGGCTGGTAGCTAGTATTATATATAATTTTCTCTTAATCTTCATAATCTTTTACATTTTAATATTTTATTTTATTCTTTTTTTTCATATATAACATGTAAGTATGTCATTTCTTTCACGTACACGGCTCGCGTACATACATGATCAAGAAAATTAACAATATAATTTAATTCACTTCTTTACATTTCAGCTCATGTAATTCATTATTTAATTGTACCATAACTTTCACGTACACGGCTCGCGTACATACATGATCAAGATAGTGGACAATATTCCTATACAATTCATAATAAATTATCATTTCCCTCATTAAAATACATTAAAACTTATTCCGCATTTAATCGTGTCCGAACAACCTTAAAAATATTAATCGGCTATTATGTTTTCCAAATTCTAAGCTGATCAGGCTGATTGTATGTGGATATACTAAATATATAAATTTAAACATAGGTATATTAAATATAGAATATTTTTTAATACTTAATTAAAAAAAATATTATAGCGAAAGGTATATAAAAACGATCTCAAATTAATAAATAAAGTTTTAAATGAAATTACAATTACAATGGTACGAGGTTACCTCTCAATTTCTTCTTTGTACTCTTCAGCTCAATTTTCACATTTTTCTGGGTGATGTTCGCTAGAATACAACTGCTTCTTTCCCATTGACTTATATATTACTAGTCTTTCCCTTTTCAATTAATCTGCCAGTTTGAATTTTTCGATCAACTTCTAAATTTTATTGTGGCCTCTTCTCGTTTTTGTCATATTATAATTTTCTTGTCTTGTCCGGTATTGCGTCAATTCATAATTGAAATAAATTATTTCTCTATTGTTATTTTATTAGAACGATATTTGCAGTCTCAGCGGTGCGCTTGCATTGACGCAGCGCACCGCCAGGCAGGGTCGCCATGTAATAGAAAGGTGTCAATGAAGAGAGACGTGTTGTTGGTACTATAACTTTAATTGTAGTGCCTCATTATTCTACCTTAACACTAAAGTATATTAACGTGGGAGCACTACACTACAATTTAAATTTAATTCCTTAGTAGTCTATTAAAACTTTGGGCATTTTTCCATTTTAACAGGTGGTGCGTTCGTTTGTAGTATTCGCTCCGTAAACTTCGTTGATGTTATTGCCGTTTGTGCCATGATAGTACTGATATTCCTTACTCGAATTTTTAACGTATCCATAATGACGAAAAATATTTAAATGTAATATAAACATAATGCTAATCAATAGACAAATTACTAAATTTGCAAAAAGAATCACATGTTTTTGAAATAAAGTACATTTGAAATTAGAATTCCTAGCCAAACAAAAATTATTTTGGTTTGAAATGGCCAGTATTGCAGAACCGCAATTTCATCGTTAAAGACCTATTTACATGCTACTACATACTCTTTGTCCTGCAGAGCGAATGTGTAACTCTGATGGGAAATGTGTGGTTGACCTCTTTTTAACGTTTAACGTTTGTTATTAAAACAATTGTAGTATAAGTATTATTAAAAAAAGCATTAGTATTGATTATAAACCAATGTGTGTTTCACGTATTATACTTTATATTTTTATATACGGTTTATATAATGGGTGTTATCATAATCATAACTAACTTAAACATAATACAATAACGGAGGGATTCCCTCCGGCAAAATTATCCTCAGACAATTTTAAACATGCCACGCTGTAGCCTATTATGGCTGCACCACAAATGGATTGGGTACGACCGGGAAATAATTGTGCTTGAACAGAATACTAGCTTAAAATAGCAGCAAAATATTGCTGTGGTTCGTGTGGTAAGTAAAGAGAAACAGAGACCAGTTTAAGCATTCCATCTTAGTTGTTGAAAGTGACTAGGCATTTACATTTTGATTCTTAATCAAGGATGGATGTACTATGGTCGAGAACCAAAGCATCGACTTACGATTAGGTGTGTGTTCGTTCGCCAAAACATCTATTATTAAAAAAAATTACACATTTGAACTGTAGTTTCAAACTCTGCTTAGAGCCAGAATTCGCACGACAACATAAGTTATTGATTTTTGAGTCTACATTTGCTGTAAATTGCTTACAAAACGATTGTAATATTTGTCGATTGTTTTTTTCCTGTAACTTCGACTGCATATGGTGGTGCCTTGTTTAATGATGACCGACTCTGGTGACCCATAGATGGCGATACATTTCAAAACACCGATTTCATACGGGTTTTTGAGGTTGCTCCTTAATAATCATTGCTAAGGTATTGGCTCTGTACTTACTAAATCGCTTGCTAAGCTTTGTAAGGGCCACATCTTCAAAACTTTACTTCTATATCAGCTCCCAGTGGTGACAACGCATCTGTAAGCTAGTTTGCTTAAAGTTAGTTGCACGCGTCCAAGGAGTACAGTAGGCATTTTATTTAAATAAAAATGATGGAACAAACGAACAGACAGTTCGTCTGATTGTAAGTGGCTATTGCAGTTCATGATCACCTGAATCCTAATGATTTCTTATATTTACGCGAACACTACGCATTGAACGAGTGAAGCCGGCCACAGTCGAGCGTGTAGCTGCTGTACTGCCATATGTTAGAGGAGTCACTGACAAGATTGGCTACATCTTGAAGCGCCCTTCCATCAAAACATACCTCAAGCCGCCGAAGAAGATTGGTCAGTTTTTACCATCAGTCAAGTGTAACGTCCCTCTGCAAGATACAGGAGTGTACATTTGCTTTTGCTTGATTGTGAATGTGGTCTCTCCTACATAGGACAAACTAAAAGATCAATTAAAACCCGCGTTAAAGAACATATAGCTGATGTGAAGAATCGACGCTCCGGGAAGTCTGCAGTCTGTGAACACATACAGGATCGCCCCCGTCGGTCGTCATTAAACAAGGTACCACCACATGCAGTCGAAGCTTTAAGAAAAAAAATTACAAGCGATTTGTACTCAATTTCTAGCAAATCTAGACTTGGCTTTAAGCAGAGTTCGAAACCACAGTTCATATGTGTAACTTTTTTAATAGTGGTAGGTTTAATACATAGGTGTCCTACAACCCACCAATCACATACTATCAGATTAAATTGATTGTGACAGTCTTTGTCTAATATATCTTGAAATATCATCATTTTTCCAATGCTGAATTTAAAATAATAGGCACCCTAGAAATGCCGCAAAACACAATCGTCCATCGACATCCTGCATCTCTTACCTGGTCGTTATACTCATTACAGACAAAATAATGTTTTACAAAGTATGTCGTCTCACCATATGAAACACAGCAGCATTAAGCTGCTACTTTACGCTGCTATTCTGTGAAAACGTGGTCCTACCCTGGTTGAGCCAATTTTAATTTCAGTTTCAGTTTTTGGCAAATATAAGAGATATTTGCCACATCAGGTCATATCATATTTATATGGGGGAGCCTATATGTTCAGCAGTTAAATTTACATAGACTGTAACAGTAACAGTGCGTAATTACTCAGTTACATAATTACATAAATACTTACACTTTCGATATTCAGTATTATGGGCAAGCACCGCACGAAACAGTATTTGATATAACACTAATGACGAGTTAATAGAACGTTTGTATATTATTTGATATGGTGCTTGGTCATTGCCAAGGGCCAATGTCGCACGACAACCCGATCGATGATGCATTATCGAGGCTCGGTAAACACTTTAAACTATACGTGAAATTTCCAACAAATCATTGAGCAATCACTTTTTAAACGATTTCAAAAATAATGAGGTTCTATATTCAACGCGTATGTTTTTAACGCATGAACTAATATTTTTTTTGAAGTAAAAATTTTTTATCGACGTAGTGGAGACATTTAGAAGGGCACTAAAGAACAAAAACTTCACGTTTTTTTAACGTTGCACCGCCGGGGCTGCATGAGTATACAATTATTTAATGTATTTATACAATTACTATGTAATATATATATATAATCTCCATGTACTTTCTATTCTTTATAACTTTTGTCTTAAAAACACGTTGAACGACGGATATTTTAATAACTGGCAACGACTACTAACATTCTAATGTTTCTTCATTAGAGATGAATCTAATCTTAGAGTATACATAAGCATGCCTTTATTATATAACTAATAAAGTCTTAAATCAGTGAAAATCCTGCTAAATATAGTCCCTTAGCCACGACGCCAGTCTTCGAAATATTTGACACTTGCTTTTGCTTGACAAACGAGCACACAATCCATCTGATGCTAAGTGGATGCTGAGACCCATATACATCTACATTTATCTTCAATTAAGGGGAAATATAACCTCAAATGGCTTAGCAAGATCCTCCGTTATGCCGAAAGTATTGCAGCATTAATTTTGAAATAAATATATGGTAAAGTTGAGGATTAATGTTAAGAACTATGTTAGACGAAAACACGATTCCGTAAAATTTTCTCGATAGAAAAAAAATCCAAAGTTACCTCCAAACTGAACAATAAACCGCTGTTATTCATAAAATACTTTAAATAAGATCATGAAACTTTGTATACTAACTGAACTAACTATAAAGCAGTGCTTATGTTATTTACTTTTTTTTAAATACCATTATTTTCACTGTAAAAAGAAATTACCTAAACTATCGGCGTCTTGAAGCTTGATTCCTGATTCCTGTTGCCCGTTAGAAGAGTACCTTTGTATAAAGACCCGTTAGTATCGCTTAGGCTTTTGGAGGGAGAAGTTGTGTCGCTTACCATCAGAATACACATTACGCAAAAGGACGACGTAAAATTAAAATGGGAAATAACCGTAATAAAAATAAGAAGCGACTGGGTTGGCGTTAAGAAACAGGCATAAATATGATAAACCTAATGAAATAAGTATCTAACGACATATCTACTTACAGTATTAGTTATTACAAACATGTCGGTACATAGCATACGACGCGCGGGGAAGTGGGGGCGAAATTAGAATTTGAGCTGACTTACTATATCCCCTTAAGAATCAAAATGTGGATGTGTTGTCAGCCCTGAGGACTGAGATGGAACAGCTCGTTTCCAGTAAAAAGGATCTCCGGTTCTCTACACTCACCATACGAAACACAGCAGCATTAAGCTGCTATTTTACGCTGGAATTCTGTGAGAGCGTGGTCCTACCCCGGTCGAGCCGACCCATTTGTGTTACAACCACAATATAATTGCAGCATGGCTCCACCACGTAAGAAAAAGATTCTAATATTTTTTCATTAGAGATGGTCTAATCCTAGCAAACGTCTATTAAATAACTAATAGTCTTATTAAAGAAATCAGAGTATTGATTTAAACTATGGTTTAAGAAAAGTCCTTCTAAATATAGTCCCTTAGCCGAGTCGAGATATTAGACATTTGCTATCAAACTCTATATATCACATTTTCTAGAAAATTCTTTCGTGATACAGATGTTAGTTAAAACCTCAGACTAATTATAAACTACATTTTATGATAAAAAATCCCCATAAAACTATCTTCACTTACAAAGATAACGTAATTTAATTAATACTTTTCCGATAAAAGGCATTTCATCGAATGGGGAGTAAATAACAGGCCCTTGGCGTAAAGGTAGAATTAAGTCCGTAATTATCTTCGAAGTAGTCTCGTGGGAAGACGCAGGTGCGGTCATTGGTTCGCTCCAAGGACAGTTTTCATTTACTGATTAAATACACATGTAGGGCTTTTTGTAGACACAAATAGTTTGTATGGGTCACCAATGTGTATGACCATACCATTATATAAAATGTGCAACATTTTTTATTTTATACGTTAATTAGTATGACATAAAATAAAGTCGTAGGTAAAGTAATCTTACAGCATATATACGTCCCACTGCTGGGAACAGGCCACTCTCACTTCTCAGAGGATTTTAAAAGGCAAGTAAGAATCCGCCGCGCTGCCCCAATGCGTGTTGGCAGGTCTTCGAAATATTTTATTTTTATTTTTGAGAGATGCAGGTTTTCTCACGATGTTTTCCTTTTTTACCGCTGAGCACGTGGTAAAGTCGTAAAGTTGTAGCTTAATAGTGTTTCGCTGCTAGAAATAGGTCGGGCTCTACGTGCGTATGATGTGTTCGCGTGTTGACGAACCTCTTTACGAAATCACCTCATTTTGAAACGGAAGTATATTTAAAAATGAAAGTGTCCCTTGACAAGTATTTTTTTTAATTTTCATACGTCGAAAAATAGTCTCATTTATTTTGGTAACATTTTATTTAATAATTTTTTTGATAAATCAGTACATGAAATTGCTGATAACGATTTTAATACTCCTGGTACCAAGCATTGAACTGATGCTTAAAATTGTTTTTTAGCGTACCCGCTACTAGAGCTGGTGGTAGAGCTATATATGTATGTAGCTGCTGGTAGAACTTTTAGAGCTTGTATGTTATTGTTATTTATTCTGTGGTTATGGTTAAAACACGAATGCGTAGGTTTGACCGGGGAAAGACCACACTCTCATACCAACCTAAAATAGCAGCATAATACTGCTGAATACAATATGGTGAATGTAGAGAATCGGACCGTTTTTACAGTAGCGATGTACCTATACCATATTAGTCCTCAGGGATGACAAGATGATAGATGTTAGTGTCTATGGCAACACTGTGTACTGTTTTCTCTACTATATTATGGTTGTAGCACGAATAGGTCGGTTTGACCGGGGAAGGACCACGCTCTCACAGAATACCAGCGTAAAATAGCAGCTTAATACTGCTGTGTTTTGTATGGTAAGTGTAGAGAACTGGAAACACTTTTTACTGGAAATAAGGCATCCGTTAGTCCTCAGGGGTGACAACGCATCTGCTTTTATTCGTAATCGAGGATACATGTAGATGTCTATAGGCCACAGCAACCACTTACCATCAGGTGAACTGTGTGCTCGTTTGTCACCCTTATTCTATTAAAAAAAAACTTTAATTAAAATTATTATTTACATGCTCGTCGGTTAAGGGTACTCCTAATTTGGCCCGTTTTCAAAAAATCGCCAATTTGGTCGATAAATCGTCGCCTAGGACGTCCCTTTCCGACTCTGCCATTCACTTCTGCACCATAAATTTTCTTTGTCTACTCTTTCCTCATTCATTCTTTCCACGTGACCAAACCACCGAAGCATTCCTTTCTTAATCCTGGTCACAACATCATCTTGCAAACCACACTCTTCTCTTATTACACAATTTCTTACCCTGTCATTAAGATTCAGCCCTAACATACTCCTTAACGACCGCATTTCTACTGCGTTCATTCTACTCTCGTGCTTCTTCTGCCACACCCAACTTTCACTACCATACGTTAAAGTAGGGACCAACACAGCATTGTGAATTACCATACGTGCCTTTTTCGACACATTCGAGCATGTATGCGGAGGTGTATGGATGTGAAGGAGGCTAGAGAGGTGTGTCAGGATCGTGCCAAATGGAAGACTGTAGTCTCTGCCTACCCCTCTGGGTGACAGGCGTGAGTGTTTATGTATTATGTATGTATTATATACAGTAGAATGTACATGACACTCCGGAGCTGAATTATCTAAACAACCGCACATTTCAATATACATCAAGAGGTTTAGGCAACAAAGAATCTTAAGTATGGAATAAACAGGCTTGTCTGCAGAATCATACATACTCGTACATAGTTGCATATATGTTAAGAAATATTTTATCAATATACCTTAATAAGTTCTTTTGGGGCAGTCGAAGTCCAGGTGGAAGGACTTCTTTGCTGTATAGAAGTCCGCAGGTACGCACTGCCATTGGCCGCAAAAATAGAAGATATTAGGCTGTTTTCATGTCTCACATGTATAGAGACCCAGCATTATGACAGACTGTAAGGCATTCTACCTCTGTCCTCAGGGTTGACAACGCATCTATAGTCTTCTATATTTGAAGTTGATGAAGTCCACGTACCATCGGATGGACTATGAGTTCGTTTATCACTCCAATTTTATAAAAACCGCCGAGTAAAACTAACAATATTTTTGGCAGATATGCAAGACTTCGGCACTTTATCCAGCAAGACCGTGGCGGAGGTATTGATGCTGGAAATGAAAATGGCGCCTACCGCAAAGGCTTATCTGGTCTCTGGCTACCCACGTTCCATGCGGGATGTCGCTGAGTATACAGAAAAGGTGAGAATTTCTTATATGTTCTTCTTTACAAGTTCTAAAGGTTGTTTTTTATAGAATAGGGGTCACACAGCACACAGTCCACCTGATGATAAGTGGATGCTGTGGTCCATAGACATCTACATTTATCCTTGATTAAGAATCAAAACGCAGATGCTTTATCACCCCTGAGGACTAAGATGGAATGCCTGTTCTTCTGAACAACTACTGAGACAAACAGAGTACCAATATCTTTGGAATTTGTTATAAGTTCATGTCAAGACATGAACTTATAACAAATTCTAATTGGGATAGAATTAATACAATGAATTCATCAATCACGTTATCTATCAACCTGTAAAAGTCTAATGTATATAAATGAATGTAACTGAACCATCCCCTTATATATCCTAATAAATTTTTGGTATTTGCTATAATTACACTAAGCTGTTCACCGTTTCCATAAGGGTGGATAATATTCGAAATTCTTTTTAATGTAACTATCTAGATACATGACATTCGATTTTTTTTTATCTCGAACGGATATGTTAGATATTCTAACTTGTGGTATTCCTTAGCTGGTCAAAGAATTAAACGTTTAATGAAAAGTAAAAAAAGACATAATTGTTTCTTAAGTCGGGTCTTTACTTATTCTATACACTTCCGGTGTATAGAATAAGTATTAGCACCGGCTTCTGAAGCTTTTATGTAGTAATCAGGTACATATTTTATTCTTTTTAGTTCTTCGAAGTCGGCTTCTTGTTTTTATAAGGATCTCTGCATGAGCTTGTTCGTAGACTGGTGAATTTTTTTCGTCTCGTATATTGCTGGAGAGAAAAAAAAACGTGCGTATAATTGTGTACACACGAACGAAGTCAAACTTCTTAACGACATATCCTTCTTATTTTATTTTATATTTTACATACGTAGGTTAAATGATAGTATATTCATGCGGTTCTGGCGGTAAAAATTTCAAAAGAAAAAAATATAAGATAATGTGATATTTTTGCTTTTTAATACCGTACTAAGTTTTTTCACTACTTCGATAAAGAAGTTTCACTTCAATAAGGAATCCGAATCGACTCCAAACTTAATATGCGACGCTTAATTGCTTAACTTTTTTCTTTTTGTAGTATTCTTTTTAATAACAATAAGTATTTTAAAGCTAGTGATAACCAAACGGGAAGTTATTAATTGTGCTGGAAACAGAATCGCGCCAATTTGCATTGTATTTTATTATTTGTGTCCGCCTTTTTTGTTCACCATTAGTATATTAACAGTATATATAATTAGTATATTAAAAGTATGTTTTTCGCATTTAGTGGTACACAAATTACCCGGGGAATTCACCAGTCATGTTATGATTCATAAAGTCCTTTGTCAATCATAACAAGGACGTAAGAAACGCCCCATACAAGTTGGTTGGTGCGCTGACAGTCGCATTAATTCAACCGAAATCTTTGAATAGTTGATCGATGTTTTCACAGTCCTCGTTAATCGATTCTTGAAAGACCTGACAAAAATCGACAGAGGGAGCGTGTCAAGGACGTAGTTGATTAGGGCGGTACACATAAAGGCATGTAAATATTGATAAATAACTAGTTTGGATTTTAAACATATTTTCCATAGTAATAAGGATTAACCTTACCGTTTAGTGGTGGTGTAAGAATACCCACTACCCCATATCATCCCGTGAGTGTCGTAAGAGGCGACGGAGAGAAATAAAGTAGGAGATGGCCAGCAGCGTTTTCCTAATATTAACAAAAATAAAAAATGGCGTTTGCCAACCCGCTTGCCAAGCGTGCCAACTATGGCAAATATCCACCTATGAGGAATTCTATGGACAAGTCCTATGGTCAGCAGTGGACTTTAATGGGCTGTGACGGGAAGGATTAACCAAGTGTTTTGGATCGGCATCTCTTTCTTACTTCCTTTCATTTTATTAGAATTGAAAAAAAAGAGTGTGCTTATGATCACACGACTGAAGTAAAACTTCTTTCGTTGCATGGGCTGCCTCCCATAATTTGTTATTATTCACCCGAAAATTCACGAAACATGAACTTTAAAATGAATTTACAATTTTATTCACTTTAAACGTACAATATTTAATGTATTGAACAAAATATTAACTCATAAAATTGTTCAAAACGAAATAAAATTACGAAAAATAACTGACTATGAGAGAAAGAGAGAATGAAAATGTGCGCGCGCACTGCTCTCTCTAGCTTATATTCCCTACTCAACTCCCGTTCCCCTCGCATGATCACACTTTTCGTAACGTTTTCGTCACGCGTTCGCCAGCTTACTCCCCAAGTCAAACGTGCGTAAAGAAGTTTTGCTTTAAAATTGTTGTAGGATATGGGTACTTGGTAGACTTTGTGCTCACATTTATCAATCTAATAAGTGTAATTTCCGCGTCAATGCGTAATCATGTTACGGATGCGTACTTGTTACAACTTAAGGTAAAAAATAACATAAATACTACTAACTTACTAACTATACTATTTCATTATTTCATTAACAAGAATTCGATTTATAAAATAAAATTCTAAAGTAAAAATATACCTTTACAATAAAATGTGACCTAAGATTGATTTTAACAGTAAAACGTTCAGTTTGTAAAATTTTACTGGAGGGAGATTTTTTCCTATTAAAGTCTACGGCCTATAAAAATCCAATACTGACCATAGACCTATTCTTTATCCAGGATAAGCCCGATTTTAAAACAATAAAGATTTAATTTTTCTTTTAAAGAAGATACATTTACTTGTAATGACAAAATTTGGTAATTGTAAAGAAACAATAAACGTGTTGCTTAAATTTTTGTTACAGAAGTATATTATCGCAAATCGATTTTAATCAGCATAAGTTGGTTGTTAACAACCTGCACTGGTTTTCTATTGGAACCGTCCGGTGATATCACCATCAGGATGCTATAGTGACCTTAATTTACGTGCTACAAAATAAAGTATGTTTTATACATGGTAGAGCCACGTTGCATTTATATTATTGTTGTAACATGAATAGGTCGGCGAACGGAGATGGACCTCGCTTTCACAGAATACCAGCGTGAAACAGCAGCTTCATACTGCTTTGTTATGTATATGAGTCATTGTTTTGGTCCTCAGTCGAAACAACGCATCTAAATTTTAATTGTTAATTGGGGATAGGTGTAGGTGTCTGTGGGCCACATCATCCATTTACCATCAGGTGGACTATGTGCTCGTTTATCACCCTTATTATATAAAAAAGTAAGGAAAAGAATAAAGCAATAAAGACACACAGAAATAAGCATAAAACTATCAGACTTGACTGGAATCCTAATAGTTTTTTTAACTTGTAGTTTGTTTTACTTAGTACCTATTTACTAGTAACCTAAGTCCAGGCTCTGGCGATGTTAATTGCTATTTTAAGTTTCGAGTTAAGTAAAAAAAGACATTGTGACGTCATAAAGTATGGCGGACGGACATATTATGGCGCACTTAATGCCAAGTGGCGTTCTGTGGCAGAGATAGGCGTATAAGAGGCGTTGCAACAGAAATCGAAAGAGCAAAAGGAATATTTGAGAAGGAATAGGAATATTAAAGAATTTAAATGTGAAGGCCGTTAAACTGTACTGAAGCAGCCAGGATAGTTGTTCTTTAAACCCTAGACAGAAAAAAGGTTGGACTGTTTTATGCAGAAATGATCCAACCCACAAACTGGAGAAAAGACTGCTTGTTCAGTTTATTTAAAATATGAAAAGTTGAATTTAAAGTTACAGCCTATATACGTCCCACTCCTGGGACACAGGCCTCCGTTCATTTCTGAGAGAGTTTTAGAGCAAGGAATTGTCCGCCGCGCTGCCCCAACGCGTGTTGGCGAACTTCACATGTTTTACAAAATATCTTTATTTCTTATTTCTCAGACATGCAGGTTTCCTCACAATGTTTTCCTTCACCGCTGAGCACGTGGTAAATCAGCACTTAAAACTGCAATTAACAATTTCATTGGTGCCGGCGGGGGTCGAACCCGGTTTGCTCTCGTACTGTGTAAATTTACAGCGAGCACTAACCATCTGAGCTACCACGGCTCAAAAATATGAAAGATTTCTGAAAAATAACAAGTACTAATTCTTAAATCTGCATTCAATTTTATTTAAAATAATATGATATACATGGCCGCCGCCAGGGTTACTGTCAAGGAGATGCATCAATACAAAACATAGAATTATACATGTCATATTATGTACGTAAAAGTAATTTTACTGACAAGGTGATGAACAAATTTTGACAGCAGCAGTGGCGAAGCTAGAGCTGCAAGCTATGGCAAGCCCAAGATATAAATTGATAAAAATATAGATTGTTGTTTTTAGCAGTTTTATAAAAATACACCAATCTTGATCTGTCTCCACGCTTCGGTTTCATATTCAGTGCTGTCAAGGACGTGTTTAACAAAGCACACAGAAGGCCTACCACTGCTAGATAGATTGTATTACATATCAGCAATTGCATAGCTTCGGTGGCTTTGAAGAAAGCCGTTTGGGTTTGTTTAAGCGAAAGAAAAAAATATTTACATCCAATACAATACATGAACAAAAGTAAAACATGAACAAAGTACAAACAAACTATGTACAAAATTAAAAAAAAAAACTATTTACATTCTAATGGATAAGAGATAAGATAAAATAAGTGGAATCGTCTCGCTTTCTTATGGAAAAATTTAATTACGTCCACGTAAAATGTTGGTGAACGTTTTAATTTTACCAATAACTGTTTTTAATTGCGATAATTGATAAGTCTGAAATACACTCTTAACCTTGTGTATTATCTCAACAAAGTTTAAAGATTTCCTCTCCGATTATCACTTTAACACACTTCAATTCGTAATGATTTCTTATATTTACGCGAACACTACACATTGAAATAATACTAGTTTTTACGGAATTTATCGCGTATATTTAACTTTTTAATTACCCGACGTTTCGAACGCTTTACAGCACTCATGGTCACGGGCAGGACTGAGATGTTCAACGTCCATATGTCATAGTTAACCGCGGTTACCATAGATTAAAATTTAACTTTTGTTCCGATCTATGCAGTATGAACTTATGGTATCTTGAAGTCTTGCAGTTGTATGCTTGGGTTGGGATTTAATTTTATTTATTATAGGATCCCAAGCAGATGGTAGCACCCAGCCATCTTCTCTATTGAAATTAGGATGTTTTTTGATTTCAATAGCCTCGCGAATCATCCTTGGAAGGAATCGGTGTTCTTTAGCGAGGATCTGCGGTCTATCAAATCTGATGTAGTGATGGGGGCGATCCTGTACGTGTTCACAGACTGCAGACTTCCCGGAGCGTCGATTCTTCGAACTTCGAACCCAAGCATACAACTGCAAGACTTCAAGATACCATAAGTTCATACTGCATAGATCGGAACAAAAGTTACATTTTAATCTATGGTAACCGCGGTTAACTATGACATATGGACGTTGAACATCTCAGTCCTGCCCGTGACCATGAGTGCTGTAAAGCGTTTGAAACGTCGGGTAATTAAAAAGTTAAATATACGCGATAAATTCCGTAAAAACTAGTATTATTTCAACACTTCAATTCATTACAAGGAACACTATTATCCTCCATTTTCATTAAAAATCTTTAAAAAAGCATAAATTTTGAACTCGTAATATTAAATCGCTTAATGTCGGCTCTACACGTTGGCCAACACAGTGGCGAATGTAGTGGCGAATATATTGGTTGAGAGTTGGTGACGGCGTCCACACGTTGGAAGGTCGTTCAGTTTACTTCGGTTCGGGCCAATGCGCGGACGAATTTATTTTATTTTAGACGACGGCTCCGTGGCGCAGTGGCTTGGCAATGAGTGGCTGTGCCAAGGGTCGCGGGTTTGAATCCCGCACGGAACAAGTATTTGTATATCCTACAAATAATTGTTTCGAGTCTGAATGTGTGTCTTTGTGCAATTTATGTGTGTAAGTTGCCTCCGCGATACAGGAGAACATCCAAGTGTGGGGGGTAACGTTTTTATAAAATAATTATAAAAGAATAGTGAATATTAATGGGGCTGTAAATAGATATACGATATACGATGAGCTTTATTTATTCTTTACATGCATCAGAAACTGGAATAAATACCATTAATTTGAACTTAACTTATTTTAAAGTTAAAGGAGTTATAATCGATTAGTCTACGTTTTAAAATTGGGTTTTGTTTTTAAAGTTTAGCAAAACATGTACTTGCTTTTCTATCAGACATTTGATGTATATAAAAAACACCTTATAATTTATTTGGTAATTTAATTATTTTTTGAGAAAGACAAAACAATAGCAATAAATATAATTAACACTGACTTAATAATAGGTACTAATTATAACTTAGAACATAAATGAAAAACTCATGACAAGGAAAGTGGCTCAGGACCATGCTTTGCGGCATTCTTTGGAGGAGGATGTTCAGTAGTAGACTTGTGAAGAGCTGTAATGATGATGATGATTCGAAAACTTGCACGATTAAATTATAAGAAATCGACGCTTTTTTATATAGGATACGGTGACAAATGAGCACACAGTTCACCTGATGGTAAGTGGTTGCTATGGCCCAGAGACATCTACATCTATCCTCGATTACGAATCAAAATGCAGATGCGTTGTCACCCGTGAGGACTAAGATGAAATGCCACGTTTCCTTTAAAAAGTGTCTATGGTTCTCTACACTCACTATACGAAACACAGCATCATTAAGCTACTATATATGTATACTATATATTATGATATTCTGTGAGAGCGTGGTCCTTCCCCGGTCGAACCGACCCATTCGTGCTACAACTATACTTCTAATATAACTGCATGGTTCTACCACGTATAAACGACGTGCTTCATTTTTTTTTTCATTTTAAAATTGTTCTCGTAATAATCTGATTGTAAATAAATGTTCATTATTTTTTTATATAAATAGCCTACCGATTAAAACAAATGTTTAAAAATAATTAAATCGCGCTAATTAAAGTAGTAGGAATGTTTAAAGTTGAAATTGGCACTAAAAGGCTGGTAATTGGGTCATCCACCCTACAAAGCGAGAATATAAAATTTTAATCAGATGCGTGTAATCACTCTGGGAGCTTGTAGCAAACTAAACTCGCAGCCAACGTGTGGACGCGGCGACCAAACTCTGCCAACAATCCTTTGATCTTTTGTAAAAAACCGACGGGCGGGGCCCAAACACCCCGTCTACACGTTGGCCAATGCTATTGGCCACTACATTCGTCACTGTGTTGGCCAACGTGTAGAGGCGCCGTAAGATAAGCACACAGAGTAAATAAACATTGAAACGTGAAATGAACTTGCAAACGTATTGCCCACGCGCCTCCGCTTTTAACAAATTTATTCCCAAAAGCCTGGCTTTAAATCTCTATACTAATTGCTATATATACAATCGTAGTTATATTTCATTATAGAATATTTTGCCATAGGTTGGAAAGAGAGCGATCGTCTTCTCGAAAGCCCCGTAAAAAGCCCACGCGAGCGAGGGAGACAACTATTAGCTCTATTAAAACTCATTTTTTATGACAGCAGCAGTATCGCTAAGGCAATACGAGGTCATCGGTCGACATGTGTCGAACAGTGGAGTGCGCGGGAAATTTGAAATAGCTTGAAACATTTTACGAGTTATTTTATTAGTTGATATTATTGATTGATATTATTGATTGATTCAGGTTTATTAAGGCAAGCCCGGCTTTTCGGCTTTAATGGAAGTTTCGCCACTGATCAGCAGCCTAGATTCTTCGGCATTCGGTTTTTCTGTGTATTTTTTCCTGACAGCGGGTGCCGTTGCACCCTGCTGCCGCCGCCTATGATGGTATTCTTAATAAAGCTACCTCTGCCCCAAGAAAATGCATTTATCTTTATATTTTTGTGAGTTGAAACTTTTCTGCACTGGACTGTTCAGTTTATTGTATATTTAGATCCAGACCATGACTGGTGCGATTCTGGTGACCTGGCGGCAGCGCGTGCTTGAGCGTCAGATCGAGTACGGTGCGCGGCTCGGTCACGTGGTGCTCAGCCTGGCGCGAATGGAGCTGGACAACTTCTACCGGCATGTCATGCCAGTTGCCGAATACTTCGACCAAAGCGGAATGCTTATTGCTGTAAGTACACAGTAACTAGTTTTTGACACGTTAAACCACAGACAAAATACAGTTTTATTTACAGCTTAGATAAATGTTGACGTTTATCACTGATTTTAAAAGTCACAACTCTATTTTGGGAAAATAAACAGAGAACAGGAGAGGAAGCTTTATGATACTTACAGTTCTTATAATTGTACGATTGTTTTGATAATATGCATACGCAATTTTAAACGAGCATTTTTTACCTTACTACAATTAAATATTAAAAATATATGAAAGGATAAAATTTTCTGCCTGTTTTACAGTATATGGTGACAAACGAGTACACAGTACACCTGACGGCAAGTGGGTGCCGTGGCTCACAGACATCTACATTAAAACTCGATTAAGAATCAAAAAGCAGATGCGTTGTCACCCCTGCGGACTAAGATGAAATGCATCGATTCCAGTAAATCGGGTCTCGCTTCTCTACACTCTCCAAACGAAACAGCAACATCAAGCTGCTATTTTACGCTGATATTCTGTAAGAACGTGGTCCTTCCCCGGTCGAGCCGAACTTTTCGTGATACAACCATAACATATCTGCAACGTGGCTCTACTACGTATAAAAATTATGATTTCTTATATTTACGCGAACACTACTCATTTAAATGAAACCAAGTTTTATTACAGAAGTTGTACAAGAAGTTTTACTGATTTACAGCCCCTCCCGTGACCATGGGTAATGTACTCGAAACGTCGGGAATTTAAAATAAGTTAATATACGCTATAAAATCCGTGAAACTTATTTTCATTTAAATGTTGTTAAAATAATTATTTTCACGAACTTTCAAATATCTTAAATTCATAGTCTTTCTATTCATTGTTTGGTTATTAGAATATTTATTTATTAGATTATTAATTTATTATACTATTTATTTTATCAGCCTCTTCTACCAACACGATTGAGTGTAATAAAATGCAAAATAAAAACATGTATTAGAAAAATTAGATAAACACTCGTGTGTAATGAAGTTGAAGAAAAATGAGAAAAATCCCCACATGGAACCGAGACGGTTCTCAACTTAATTTATAAAGTATACGTTTTATCAATTATAAAACGATTAGCTCGATACACGGGTTCAAACAAAAATATTTACAATAATTATTTTTTGGTGGCTTGAACTTTTTTGTAGCATTGGGTAACAAACGAGAACACAGTCCTCCTGATGATAAGTAGATGCTGTGGCCCATAGACACCAACATTTATCCTCAATTAAGAACCAAAATGCAAATGCGTTGTCACCCCTGAGGACTAAGATGGAATGCCTCGATTCCATTAAAAAGGGTCTGTAGTTCTCTACACTCACCATACGAAACAGCAGCATTACGCTGCTATTTTACGCTGGTATTCTGTAATAGCGTGATCCTGCCCCGGTTGAGCCGACCCATTCGTGCTACAACTGTAATATTGCTGCAGCGTGGTTTTGTACGTGGTAAACAAAATAGATTAATAGAAAATTGATTTTGAATATTTTAAAATCAAAACTAGTATGATATTCGCTAGATGGCTGTAATACATCACTAAGCGAAAAAAAGTAATTTTCTTGCTCAATACTATTTTGTGTCTAAATCTGGGTAAAAAGTAAACTACATATTATACAACGTAACAAAAAACCTGTGGTTCCCGTTAAGGGCGTTATCAGAATCAGTATTCAAGCATATAGAAATATTTAAAAAAAAACACATTTAAAAAAATTAATTTTAGTAAAAAAAAATAATTTGCAAATTGTATGTGGTTTCATTATCTCTATATTGGCCGAGAAGTAAGAGGATTGTCAAAGACCCCGCATTACCGATACTCATGTGAGTTAGAGGAAATAAAATCACATACAATTTGCAAATATTTTTTTAAATTAAATTAAAAAAAAAACATGGTAGAGTTTTCTGAAGAAAAATTATTTCTAAGCGCTTGAATATTGATTCCGATAACGTAGTTAACGGGAGCCACAGGGTTTTTGTTACATGTTGTAGGTACCTGTAAGTTTCTTAAGTGCGCGAACAACGTCAAGTTTTGTTTATAAAAATTAACACTATAAGTTACAAAGGTAAAAAAACTTTACGCTGCATTTTAATCGATAATTTGCTTCGCGTTTTAATAATGTTCTCTATAATTTATCATGCTATGTAATCTTTATGACTTAAGGTATTAATTTACACGAAGCTGTCATTAGGTTATCGGTTTATGCGCCTTAATCATTTTATTCACTTTATCTAAAATATTTTTTGATGGAAGTGTTGCATTTTACTATTGTTAATGTTTACATAAAATATTACTGAGTTACAAAGTATGCTTTGTTTACAAAGATGTGTGAGGAGAAATATACCAACATTTTATTTTATGCCAGTCTCATCTTTTTTTTTAACTAAAATGACAAATTACCAGTCCACGTAAATAATAAGTGGCTACTGCGGTCCGTGAACATTTGCAGCCCACTTCAAAAGAGAAGGCTAGAGAATGCGTTGTCACCTCTGTGGACTAAAACGCAATGCCTTATAGACTGTAATGACATGGGCTCTCTATACCTACAAAAGTTGCATGATATTGCTTCCGAGTAAACCTGCTCAATACATGACCAGGTTCACTCGGCTGAAAAATGATGATGAATGAAAATCTACACAAAAACGCTGTACTTAAACTTCAAATAGTACCAAAAGGAAAAGGATTTACAAAGTATTGGCTTTGCGCCCACCATTCCAAAGCTGGGACATTTTTGAAAAATCCCGTGTCCAAGACGACTGCGTGTTTTTTTTTTAATATACCGCAATTCGTTATCGGTCATTAGGTATAAATTTGAGTTCGATCCAAAAATATTTAAATACATTTCTGTAATTAATCTAATTTTTACTATGCAGCCATCAGGCCCATTAGCTCAGTTGGTTAGAGCGTCGTGCTAATAACGCGAAGGTCGCGGGTTCGATCCCCTCATGGGCCATACATCTTTTTAAAATTAATTGATACAAATACATATATTAGAAATTATATTAAAATAATATGTTGTTTTTATAACCACAGAAAATTCCAAAGGGATGATAATATAGACATTTGACTATATACTTTATAACTGAGCACAAGAAGTGTCTTCCATTTTATGAGAGCTTGGACACAGAATAACTAATAGTAATAACTAATAACGTAGTTTGGAGTGGTAGAGTTTGTTTTGTTTTTACGAGTTAGTTTGGTGCATCCGGACACTTTTGGACTATATACATATATTATTATTTCTTAAGCATGAGCCGTGATATTATAAGCGCAGGGCACTCGTTAATAACTACCTCCAATGAAATTACAGTGTACTTACTTGTGTAAGATAACTGTAAAATTCAGCTGTATTTGGTATAGTTTATTCCCAGAACCGGATATAGCTGAACGAGTGCGGTCCTCGAAGACCCTTGCCCGGACGGCTTGCTCCGAAGGGGGAGATGAGAAAGAAGAGTAGTAATTATATTTTATGTAGAATAAAGTTAACAAACGGGCACACAGTAGTACACCTGATGGTGAGTGGATGCTGTAGCCCATATTACATCTCCTCGATTAAGAATCAACATGCAGATGCGTTGTCACATCTGAGGGCTAAGATGGAATGCCGCATTTCGAATAAAAATGGTCTGTGGCGGCGCTGTCATCGCGCCGCAAGCGAAATCACACCGAAGCCTAAATCACGCTATCAACATTCCGAATCATAAACAGCATATATAGAACATCTCCGAACTATCACACGGAGTGTTGGCCGCTCCCCGGGCAGAACACCTTGCCCTGCGGGAGATCTCCCCTTTTCCTTCCACGGCCACACTGGTGACCACCCGACGTGATCGAAACGACCAAACACCTTCGGAAATTACAACTTCAAGCCTCAAGCCTTCGTCATTATCCTCAAGAACCCTTACCATTCACTACTGATAATCGTCTTCTGCAGTCTTCAGTTCCTGCAAGCCAGCCCAACTTGTCTTCATCTCGACTCACCGCAGATTTATAAGGCAGATTTCTGGCACTTGCTCCGGCACATCGTTCTCACCGGCATCACTTGGCAGTGCGTAGTACGGCATGCATTACACATCGGCATATCATTCGCACCGGTGTCACTTGCCCTTACGCACACAGCATGCATTCCCCACCGGCATTAAAGGACGCACCGGCAATCGGACTGCACTATCGACCTCCGGTCTGAGCAGGGGGTGATGTGGTGGCGCTGTCATTGCGCCGCAAGTGAAAACACACCGAAGCCTAAATTACGCTATCAACATTCCGAATCATAAACAGCATATATAGAACATCTCTGAACTATCACACGGAGTGTTGGCCGCTCCCCGGGCACAACACCTGAACGCCCGGCGGGAGATCTCCCCTAGGCATGTCGATTCACTCTTAAAAAAATCGATCTCTGAATCGATTTGAATCGGAAACACTAGAATCGATTATCGATTAAATCGAGAATTAAAAGATCGATTTTCGATTAATCGCGACGTTTTCAAACATGAAATTTCAAGAATTTACGATTTTTTCTTTAATTGAACTTTAATATTTTGTTAAATAAAATATTAGTAATCTTAATAATTAACATTATTAATATTCCTTTTAACCACTCCTGGTAGGCTTGAAACGCTTGTGTTAGTAGTGGTTTGCACATAAGCCACTCGATCCTTTTTTTACAAAGTGATTCCCTGTATCACTTTTATTTTACATTTTAGGCTAGAAACAACAACAATACTTTAACAAAAGTTCAAACTGCAACGTACATTTCTCGATAAATCTGTTTCAATCTAATAACTACTACACTATTTATCAAATTGAAGTGAATGCTACACGAACACAATACTGCTTATTTCCTTACTATAAAGTAAAGTAAAGTTACAGCCTATATACGTCCCACTACTGGGCTCAGGCCTCCCCTCATTTCTGAGAGGGTTTAGGGCAAGGAAGTGTCCGCCGCGCTGCCCAAATGCGTGTTGACGAACTTCACATGTCTTCGAAATATTTTTTTTTCTTATTCCTC